ATTTCTTTTTCAGATAGCCAGCTTGGTCCGTGCCACCACAAGTTACTTTCTTTCAGATCGGATAACAACATACCTCGTGACGCCAAATCAGCGGGATTTTCGTGTGACTGAACGTGGTACCATTGCTTATTATTGAGGTTCTCGATTATTTCTACCACACGGTTTGCTACAAAGGGCTTCCATCTATTGGGTTCGCCACAAAGCCATGCGATGACGATCGAAGAGTCGGTCCATGCAATCATGTTTGATGTTGGTATTCGCATTGATGTTCCAACTTGCTTCATTAGTTTTGAAAGCAATAGGGCTCCACTGAGCTCAAGGCGAGGTAATGAAATTGTTTTCAATGGTGCCACTCTCGTCCTAGCAGCTATAAGTTTTGTTTCTATATTTCCATCAGAGTTTTCAATCCTAATATAGACTACTGCTGCATATGCACGCATTGATGCGTCAGAGAAACCATGTATTTGTGCTTTATTATTGCTAAAAGATAGTGTGCCAAGCCATCTTTCGATTTTTATTTCGTTTATATTATTGAGATCAGATCTGATTTGCTGCCATTCTTCTTGTAAGGTATCACTAACTTCATCATCCCATTGCAATCTCTCAAGCCAAAGCTTTTGTATAAGTATTTTAGCCATAACAGTAGTAGGTGCAATCCAACCCAGAGGATCGAACAGTTTTTGTATATCCGACAGTATTTTGCGTTTGGTTATTGGTTTGGCATTGGTTGGAAAATTACAATTGTATTGAAACCGATCTGATTTTAAATTCCAAGTGATTCCAAGTGCTTTTATGGTTCCGTTTAGATTCAAATCAATACTTGCATTGACTGATCGTTTGTCTTCTTCAATGGATTTCATGACTTCAATACTATTGGATGCCCATTTAGTAAGTATGAATCCTCCTCTTTTGAGTGTATGAGTTAATTCGAGTGATAGAGTTATAGCTTCGTCTACTGTGTCTGTACCCGACAAAAGATCATCCATATAAAAATCTTCGTTAATAGTTCGAGCAACTAAGGTGTTTGTATTCGCTTCATCTTTGGCTACCTGTTGAAGTGTTTTAACAGCCAAATAAGGTGCAGAAGCTGTGCCAAAGGTAACTCTGAGCAATCGGTATTCTTCTAGGATATCAGATTCATGCTGCCTCCATAAGATTCGCTGATAGTCCGTGTCATCTGGATGCACTAATATTTGCCGATACATTTGTGTTATATCAGCTACTAAACAAATACGTTTCATTCTCCATCTCATTAGAATGTTTCTTAAGTCTTCTTGCAGCTGCGGACCGACGAGCAATTCATCATTTAAAGAAAGGTTGTTTGATCCTTTACACGATGCATCAAATACAACGCGTGTTCGAGAAGACTCTTTATCATCACGGATGACCGCATGGTGAGGTAAGTATAGAGATCTTTTATCTATTTCCTTTTCAGGTACCTTTTCTAAATGTCCTTGTTCTATATAATTACTAATTACTTTTGCATAATCTATTTTCAGGTCTGGCGATTTATTGAATTTCTTTTCCAGTAGAACAAATCTCTTCATGGCTATCAATTTAGTGTTTCCATCAGGTGATTGTGGACTGTTTGTTTTAAATGGTAATCTAACTATGTACCTTCCTTCTTTCGTTCTAATAGTTGTTCTTTCGTATAATTCTTCACACAGTTGCTCTTCCTTTGTTAAATGTCTCTTAGTATCTGAGTCGATTTCCCAAATTGATTTTAACATGTCTTCGATGTCGACTGAGTGATGCATGACTACATAATTGTTTTGTTGTGTTGTATAAACTTCCCCAAAAAGAATCCAACCTAGGTTTGTTTTCTGAGCGCTTGGTGTGCCTGGTGGACCTTTGATTATATTGTTTTGTAAAATGTCAGCATATTCCTTTACACCTAGGAGCAGATCTATAGACCCTGGCATGAAGTACGTTGGATCAGCCAGGTTGAGCCCTTGGATGTGTGACCATTCTGGTGTGCTGATTGTTTTCATGGGAATCCTTGTGGTCAGTTGCTTGGGCATTACGTATGCCTTGATAGGTAAACAATAGTTTCGGTCCCATCGTGATCTTATCTGTAGCTGTACCACATGTTTCAATTCGGTCCTATTGGATCCCACTCCTATGATGCTTCCCTTAATCGGTTGTCGTTCTAACTTTAATAATTGAGTCGCTTTCTCGCTAATGAAAGCTGCTTCAGAACCTTGATCGACTAGCGCTCGCAGTAAGATGGTGTGTCCTTGTTCGTTTGTAGCTTCCACTACTGCTGTCGCTAAAAGAGCTACTCGTTGCTTAGCGCTGTATTGTGACGTCATCATTGTGTTGACTTGTATTGCTTGCTCGTCTTCTACATGTGTTACAGCTGGGGATGATGAGACCGATGAATCCTCTGGCTTTGTGTTCTTCTTAACATGTAAAAGGGAATGATGGCGTCTGTGGCATAGACGACAAGACACTGGCACCTTGCACTTAAATGCCGAATGTCCTGGCACCAAGCAATTGTAACATAAGTGTTTCTCCTTCACAAATTCACTCCTGTTATTAGGTTCCAATTTGCAGAAATCCTTGCAATGACTTAAACTGTGGTTATCCTTGCACATAACACAAACTTTCTCCGTTACTGGCGTAGCAGCGTAAAATGAACGTTCTTTAGTTGTTTTATAATCCTTGGTGGTAATATTCTGATTGGTTAATTCTAATGTACGGAACTTTGTCTCTAAAAACTTCTTAAGATCACTCCAGGTAGGTACACAGTCCGAATCTTCCTTATACGCGTACTCTTCCCAGTTTTTGTGAGTCTCTGGGTCCATCTTCTGCACGAGAAGATATATAAGAACTGGATCCCAAGAGCTTGTGTCAATGTTTAAAGTGGTTAAGCTATGTAAACATTCGGTTGTTGTATCCAACAATCCTTTTAGCTGAGAAGCTGATTGAGAAGTCATCTTCTTTTGATTGAATAATCTTCTCATAGAATGATTCAATATTAAGCGTTTATTCCCGTACCTTGTCCTCAAGATATCCCATGCGTGAGCATAATTGTTATCTGTGACCTGTATGTTGTTCAGTAATGTCTGAGCTTCGTGCGTAACACTTGTTTTCAGGAAATGAAGTTTTTGCACATCACTTAATGAAGAATTATTATGCACTAATGATGTAAATAAATCTTGAAATGTTTGCCATGACTCATAAGTTCCAGAAAATTTCGGTAGTTGAATCTTCGGTAAGTGTATGAATTTATTTTGTTGATTTGGAAGGGTAAAACTAGAATTCGCTGACCCTGATTCATAAGATCCCGATAATGCAGTAACCATATCTTTCAAGTCACCTTGTAGCACATTGTATAATTCTTCATAGATAAAAAATTCATCATTCATGAAATAAGGCAAAGTCCCTTTATGAGCTTTTGGTGTTATCTTCACTAAATCTTGATGAGCACACTTAAATGTATGCCAATATTCATCTATAATCTTCATTCGCGCTTCGATATAACCTTTAGTTAACCGTTGTTTAGGACATTTTCTCAGGTTACTTTGAGTCTTCTGTAACAGGTTAGCAGTATCTTCCAACACGGAGAGAAGTTGTTGTTGTTCTTCGGTCGAACACATTTTTCTTGATAACGAACCTCTAATGCAGCTGATTCCCGATGTGTAATGTCGTAATGACGTCTTCTAATAAATTGTAGTAAACAACTTGCTAATTCGTGGAATTGAATAGGTGCAAAAAAAAAGGTTCGCTTATCGCTGCTTAGGAATGCGGCCTTTTGTTCTCCTGGCTCGACGACTTGACTGTTGTATCCGGCTCGAAGGACCATATGGTGTTTGTAATAAGGTTCACTCGACGAGCAGGGGAGTGGAAAAATGAAATGCGTGTTGTCCACATGCAAGTGTATTAGCGACTAAAAAATATTACATAAAAATACTGTTTTAACCATCGACTTGACGTACCTATGTATAGTTAGATATATGGAACTGGTTTGTGAGCAGCCACGACAATTCTTACATCAACATATATATTATATGTATTTTTATTCCCAATTTATTTATTCACTTTTATAGTATTGTTATTTAGTAATATTGATAATGTATTTTATGTAATTTACATTATACCTATATATACGGATATATGTATGTATTTACAGTTATGCATCACATAAACCATTATACCTATTACACCTACTGTTGCACATCTCTGCATCACCCCATGGTTGACTGTTAGAGAATGCCACCCGGCATTAAGTCCGCCATCGTATGTTTGTTATACAGAAGTGTTAATAAATAAATAAATAAATAAACTATTCAAATTACTCAAACTAAACAACCATTACAATGATACCAGTAATGTACCTTTTTAAAAAGTACTAATCGGGTACTACGGATATATTTGGTCAATGTCGGAGAGTTATAAATATTACGGAAACGACGATATGACGGTACAATATGAACTGTACAAAATTCGTAATATGTATGTGTCCTATGAAGAACTTCCTTGGAAGAAATTCTTGTATTGCGCATATCACGGGCTCCAATTTGTATACACTGTCCCACATTATGTTTTTCGTTACAGTGCTGTGGAGTGCCATGCTACCTGAATGTGGAAGGTGAGATAGTAATAAAATTATTTATTTTAGTGTTTAAACTGTCAAACACCAAGCGGTCACCGGTGACCGCAACCTATTGTTCTATAATTGTGTCTATAATGACGGTACTCGACAAGTTAAGGAATAAATAAAACAAAGCTTGGTGCCGTTGATAGTTGACATATAATAATCAGAACACTGTCCCCTGCTAGGCGAAGGGCGAAACCCTCTTCTAATATGGAAAGGAATGATCACCACACTTGTTCAAGACGCTTTGGCAGTTTAGGCGGTTTAGCATCTTGTATAGGTACAAAAAGGTATCTACGTTGTCTCATAGAGTCATAGCGCCGTTTCATTTCACCGTGTATTAACGACGTGCTTTTTTAAATTTAATTATTATCAACCGATTACATTATAACACAGACTAGCTTAACATAAATGTTAACCGTTGAGTTACACAAGTATTGGAAGTCTCACTTAGTGGTCTTATATTAAAAGATCACTATACCATTTTGCCTTTGATGAGTTAGTAACGATTACATAACCGAATAAGATCATAGAAACCTGAAAATTTCCACAAAGTAGTCGAGTCTCGTATATTTAAATAATAAACACAGGTGCTCTACAAAACAGTTAAGAAGTTTGCCGGACCACTAATATTATGATGAATATGGCACGGTACACGGTGGGACTGATTGCTTCTCCATATTCTCCATTACTGCCTATCCATCCAAAGGTTGTCTATAAGAGATCGCTTTATAGTGATATATTTATATGACCGCCCATTGTATGTACTACTAACTTCTAAATTTTTATCAGCAATGGTTTTTATATGGTGATTTTTTTTATTCTATTGACAAAGTTTTATCTATTCAGGGCCCAAAACTCGACGGTAAACCCTTTGATCGAACTGAAGAAGAAACGTTTTAGGTTTAAATACAATCCTCATAAAGGCTATGAGCCGTACTGGGTCGGCGGTGAGAAACTAATGTCCACCACCTCTCCGAAGCCGGGCTCCACGACGACGTTAGCGCCTTTAATATGTGGTTACGACTGCAACTACATCTATCAGAGGTACTACTTACTGTATCTGTCGGTAAAATTGGCTATTATGTGTACATTATGTGTACATTGTAGTGTAGATGCGTGCGGTTTGAGGACTGCTGCAACTGCACGGTTGGCGCAGTGGCTGGGCTGCCGTGCAACGTGCCGCGGGTTCGATTACCGCATGGAACAACTCTTGTTTCGGGTCTGGGTGTCATGTATATGTGAACTTATGTTTGTAAATGCAACCACGATGCAGGAGAAAATCCTAGTGTGGGGCAATGTTTTTTGAAATATGTCAAATACTTATGTCTGCTTAGTATGAGATACTAGCTGACCCGGCAAACCTTTTATTGCCTCAGACATGTTTTCTCACCTTTTAAACCTTCCCTGGACTTTCATAAATAATTAATTAATGGCAACGACTTCTTACCTATCAGTGAGTGGGTAATCTATAAGTACGTATGACTAATAATAGATATTATTTAACTTTTCAACCGACTTCAAAAAAAAGGATATTCTCAATTCGACTGTATTTTTTGTTTCTTTTTATGTTTGTTACTCGATCACTCGAAAACGCCTGCATCGATTTAAAAAAAACTTTTTTTGTTTGAAAGGGTAGGTTTGTCATTTAGTCTCATTGTCATGAAGTCAGGATCTGATGATGGAACCCCAGGGAAACCGAGAGGAACTTTTAAAAATTATAGGGGCGACTAGTGCATTTGTTAATTTTTTTGTTAAGTATTTAAAACCACTACAATCTGATAAAGATCTGGAGCTGATCTGGTGATGGAGCCGATAAGCAATCGAGGGAACTCCTCAACGGTTAACAGAAGCTACATTGTGTTTGGGTTTGATTAATTTGTATTGATGAGGACTTTAGACCTAAGTGGTATATGATTGCCAATAAGGGTCTGATGATGAAGTACTACCATAGTTGAGGGAACTCCTCAACGGTTAACAGTAGCTACATTGTGTTTGGATTTGATTAATTTGTATTGATGAGAACTTTACACCTAGGTGTGGTGTGGTTGTCATTAAATGTCCAATGATGAAGTAGTATGACAGCTAACAGAACAATGGTTAACAGTAGCTACCCGGTGTTTGAGCTTGAATAATATGTGTTGATGAAGACTTTGCACCGATGTGGATTGTACATTTTTTTTCCAAATACATTTGCAATCAGCCCCAGGGCTATGAGCAAATCTTCTGTACGATCTGTCATGCGGAGTGACTTCCCATTGGAAGCTCTACTCATCTGTTGTCTGGAGCTACTGCCTGTCTTCGAGTTCTAGGATGTGGTGTCGTTTTAAACGATTCACATACTGGTTCATGGTGAGTTGGCGAGCGAGTTCGTTAGCGTGTCGGGTTAACCGTTATTTGTATTTAGCTGCAAAGCTTCTAATTTCTTCCTTGATTGTTCCCATTTCAAGGTGATTGTGTGACTCATTGTTGGTTATGTACCATGGTACTTCCGCGATGGTTCTCAAGATTTTGTTCTGTTGGCGTTGGAGAATTTCTATATTAGAATCGCTTGCGCTGCTCCATAGTTGCAGGCCAAATGGGTTTCAAGATAACTTTGTATAGAAGTAGTTGGTTGTCTAGGGAGAGTCTTGAATTCCTTCCCAGCATCCAGTAAAGGCTGCTGTATTTTAACTGGAGCTCCTGCTTTTTACATTTGATGTGTTAATCTACGATCCAGGTTAATCTACGATCAATATGTAGGCCAAGATATTTTACATGATCACTGTGAGGTAGAGTGCAGTGGCCCAATTTTACAGGTGGGTAGTTTCCTTTTCTAAAAGAAAATATTACTTGCACTGACTTTGTAGCACTAGCCTTTATTTTCCACTTTTACTTTATTAAGACCAATCTGCAGTTTTTCAGATGCCACTTTTGGATCTTTAGCGCTCGCTAACATAGCGGTGTCATCTGCAAATGTGGCTGTAGTTACCCCTGGCGTTAATGGTAAGTCAGCTGTGTAAAGTGTGTAGAGTAGAGGTCCGAGAACTGATCCTTGTGGCACCCCGGCTTCAATTTCATGGAAATTCGAATAGGCATCTCCCACTTTTACATGGAATATGCGGTCCTCGAGATATGATTTAAATATTGGAAAGTATGAGTGAGAAATATTATCTTTTATCTTACATAGCAATCCTTAGTGCCACACCTTATCAAAAGCCTGCTGGACATCTAAGAACACTGATGAGCAGTATTCTTTCTGTTCTAAGGATCTTCCATGATTATTTCCGAGACTTTCCACACATTCGTGAAATACCTACCCTATACGTAACATAGCGTTGAAGATGGTAGTGATGAATACAAAAGCTTTTCTCGGTAGTTGCAGTAATACTTCCTTTGTTATTAGATCGTATCCAGGTGACTTTTTGCTATCTATATATATTATAACGGGTAATTTTTATAGAGAGTAGTTAGTAGCTTTAGTAGCAGTTAGAGACTCTAGCTTTGCTTGCATAGTTAGGTCATTGATATATGGTCTTTATTTCTAGTGGTACGTTAGTGGACTGATTTTTATGTCCACTACTAAGCGTGGTTTTCTAGGTCGCGCCTTGTATGAGGTTAGTGAATTGCACTACTGCTGTTTCAATTTCCTCTGCTTCTTTTATTCGGATGTTCAGATAAAGATTATAAAATAAATAAAAATTGTTTATTGTACAAAAATTTCACAATATTACATTCACAGAAATGCGGCAATTACATGAACGAGTGTGAATTACGATCGATACTGACACTGCCCTCCAAACTAAGCTATAAGCTTGTATTTTGGAAAACAGTGATTCAAGCGTGGAGTATGTCACAAAGTCGCATTATATGTCACTCTATAATGAAGTGAATGTCTTGAAAGTGAATGAATGAAATGGGAGGAGCTGTAATCCAAAACAAAAATAATAAAATATAAAGGGAATGTTAAAAGGACTACTTAGGTTAATTTTCCGGAATTGTGTGTGTGTGTGTGTATGTGTGTGTGTGTATATGTGTGTGTCGGTTATGATATATTCGTAAGTAAACCTTCAGTTTCATTGTAATCAATTTGCTGAAGCCAATCACTGATTTTTCTTGTGACTTCTTTTCGGCTGAGTCGTACGATGTTCAGGTTTTTATTAATTTTGTTGTAGAGCTTGCAACTGAGACTATTGAACTGTCCTCTGGCAAAAGTAGTATTGTTAGGGATTTGCGGGCATACTGGCATCTTACTGCGTCTGTTTGGATTCGGTAGTGGAACATTCCTATGCCTTCTCAAAGTAGATTTGAGCACAAAGAGCTGTCTGACTGTTAATACCTTACATTCTAAGTACAAATTTTGCGGTGGGATATCTACCTCTATATGGTTTTTTGGTCATCACTTTCAGTACAGCTCTTTGTGCTCTCTCAAGCATAAGGAAAAGCGTTTTGGCTGCCCCTCCCCAAACTGGTACGCAGTATTGGATGATGACTGACACAGAGAGATATTTTCAATGTGTTCCCTAAAGGAGGACTAATCTGTATGTTGATTATATAATGTTACGGGTCTCTCGACTTCAATTACAGTTGAACTGATAGTTAACAGAACTGGGGTGTGATCAGATGACCTATCATTACATGAGTCTATCTTTAAGTACTGTTTGGATAGTTCTTTTGTTACGAAGAAGTCGAGCACGTCCGGGATTCGATTGTGATTGGCTGGCCAGTTTGTAGGTTCTGATGAAGCAATCGTGCTTAGATGATTTATGTCAGGGCTCAACTTTAGTTGTCTTCCCCTGGTTGTTGTCAGTGTTGAACCCCAATGTATATACATATGTTTTGAGTTCCAATCGCTTCCTGCAATGAAGCGACTGCCTAGACTTGAGAAGAAGTGGGAGAGACTTGAGAAGAGTTTATTCGATGTTTTGGAGGGCAATAAACAGCTGAGATATTGAAATATCCACATCTATCTTGTATTCCCTCTGTAGTAGCCTGTATTTGCTCAGTTCTATATTCAGGTAATAGATGGTGTTTAATTCTATTGCGAATAATTATAGCTGATCCCGCATGACATGTACTATCGGGATGGTTTGTAGTGTAAGTCAAGAACCCTTTGATTTTCACATTAGATTTTCACAGGCAGTGAGCCTTAGATATCAAGACTATGTCCAGTTTATGCTCAGCCATTAGAATCTCGAGCGATTGTTGGGTGAGAGTCCATTTATGTTCCTTGTCGCCAGTCTTAACCCAGGGCCTGTTAACCTTGTAGTTTGGTTATGAGCGTAGTTATGAGGCTCATTAGAGTACTCATTTGTTGTAGGATAAGGTAAAATTTTTCATTTTGTTTGTTTAGGATACTTTCTAATACCGCTATATTTTGGCTTACATTTGGTGTGACCGTATGTTCTGTGGTAGCTTTGTTTGGGTCGTTTCTAGTAGCTTTGGCATATGAATATGGTTCTTTTCCTTTTTCATTGGTGGGCAATTGTTAAACAGTATTTGTCGAGAGGATTGTTTCGGTAGTGGCGTCTTTTACAATAGCATGTCTGTCGGTTCTACGGTGAACGGTAAATGTTTCTCTATACACCTCGCAGCCTTTATAGTTTGCCGGGTGGAAGCCATGACACAATGCGCATTGGGCTGGTGTATTTCTATCCCGTTTAGGGCAGACAGAGGTTTTGTGTGCCTGAGCGCATTTCACAAGCGGAATGGTCTCATACAGTAATTTTTGGTATGCCCATATTGTTGACACCGCTGGCACTGCACAATTATATCTTTCTTCTTGGGATCCTCTATGGTTGCTGATTGGTGGTAAATGTATTTGATTTCTTTGGCTGCTTTGTTGTTCTGGCTAGGTAATAGATTAGAGACAAAAAAGCTTGAGGTCGGCTTTTTCTCTGGACCTTATCTGGAGTTTATGATTTCACCGACGACTGTGTTTCCGGTCTTTTCGATTTCTTCTTTTATCTCAATTTTGGGTGTTGTGTGATGGAGATTCCGAATGACTATACGGCAGTATCTTTCATCTTTTTTTCTGAATGGATGTCCTATTAGTCCATTTTCGCGGAATTTGGTGATGATTTCTTTGTAGACTTCCATATCTTGTATGTTGATTCTTAGTTGGTTTCTATTTGTGATTCTGTATGTCTATGAGCTTTTCTCTGCAATACTTTCCATGAGTTCAGTCAATTTGTTGACGTCTTCTATACCATACAATACAATGGGAGGGGTTTTGCTGGTCTTTTTTTCTACTGGTTTTTCAGACTCAGTAGTCTCTTCAGTCAGGTCAATTGGTAATTGACTGAACATGTTGTTGGTGGTTATGTTCTCAGGGGAATCACTGACTTTTTTCCGTTTCGGATTTCTAGAGCTTGGTACTTTCTGCCAAGGAGGGGGATACGTAGTGCCTTGCTCGCTTGGAAGATCTGTAGTGGCCGTGCATTTCGGTGGTTCTCACACAGTTTGTACATTTTCTGTGCTCAAGCTTCCCAAGGAGCTGCTTCTAGGCCTTGTAACAAACAGGCCGCGATGAAACGCTTGCTGGATAAGTTTTTTGATGCCAGTAGTATTTACTGTAATGGAAGCCTGGTCGCCTACTTCCATTAAGTCTTCGGTAGCTAATTTCTCACTCTCCGGCCCGGATACCAGAGAGCGCCGAGGGTTAGCCGGATCGCATGACATACAATCTTTCTCATTATTCGACATTTCCATAAATAAGGGGTTGGGAGAAAATACTCATACTACTTTCCCGAGGTAGTATTGGCGCAATTTTAGGGGGCATTTAACTTCCCTAGGCCTGCTGTAGCTTTAATTGTTTTTTTTTTCTACCTCTATTTGATCGCCGCCAGTGACTCAGCATTGTTGCTCGTTTAGCACCACCAAGGGGACGCGTGTAGGGTGGGCCTAGGACAGGTGGTCATTCCTACGGACGCGAGCGACTCCATCACCCAAATTGTACATAAAATAACAAACTGCGTTTAAAAAAACCGACTTCAAAAACAAACAAAAAGTAAAAAGCAAAAAATAACTATTATTGGTCATACGTACTTACATATAGCTTACACACCCACTGATAGGTTAGCAGCCATCTACCTGGCGGTAAGTGTAAGACCAGACCTTCCTCTTTGAAGACCTCTCTCTGAAGACATGAAAGTGCAATTGTGAACGTGACCAAACCGCGGGCAGAGCTACTCCACGGTTCAGTCCAGTGTTCTTAGCGTACCTACCTATTACCCCAAACCTGGATATGATTGGGGCAACAGAGAATTGGCATAAATAGAGTAAACTACCTTCTACCAAACAGTGTACTTTATCTGGACCGGCAGGTAGGTACCTGCCGGTCACTTCTTGAAGTTGGTAACACTTTTGCCACATTGTAAAAGATCTGTACAAACCTATAAATCTAGCAGATAAAATATAAACAGTAATACGATTCCTACCTGTCATACTTGCTGTTTGAGCGAAGACAGAATTTTAATCCGATAAAATTTATCCAGCTCCTTGTTTTACTAAAAATCCCTTTAAGTAAGTACTTGCTTGAAATATAATCAGTTAAGCTCCACTCCTGAATGTTCTTTCGCATGATTAATAAACTTCATGTTTAAAAAAAAATCTAAATTTTATTCACTTAAATTTCAATTGAACATTTTTTTATCATAAAACGATTCGCAGGACCAAGTCGACCACAGCTGATGACATACAATGTGCTTTCATTGAGTGTTGCCATTGTTTTGAATGTTGTTAGTTCCTCAAACATTGTTTTCATGATTAAGTAGACAAATTATACACAATATGACACCCCGACCCGGCACAACAATTTATGGATAATACGAAGTTTTCTTTTTATTGATAATTTATTTATTTTATTTATTTATATCCGGCAGGCCCATATTAGAATACAATAATACTATAATATCTACTACAATTTCAACTTAAAATACTATACCTCTAAATACATAATGTAACT